GCAGAATACATGGTTTGTTCGCCTTTCAGCCACCTGATGTGGCTTATAGCCTGAGAGTCTTTCATAATGTATATGGTCCATCATCACGTTCATATTCGTGTAAATGTAAACATATACTCAGCAAAGAGTTAACGCAAATTCGTTTACTGAATATTGCTGTGTAAAGGGCACCCCATTTCATTCTCTCGCCAGAAACTCACTTCCTTCAGTCTGCTTAGGCCAGTGATTCTAATCTATTCCTTTTTATTAAAAATAAATCCATGAATGATGCATAATATTGGACTGGTCATAATGAGCACAAATGTCTGCTATATGTGCATTTCTGCATCTTTTGTGGCGCATGATGTTCCCCAGAATTATCATCTGTTAACTCCAGGAGTTCAGCAACTTACATGGATGCTGTGATAATGCCTCATGACTTGAAACAATTCATCAGCATCTGTAACTATTCCTGTTATCTCTTATTACCTTGAATAACTTCTGAGTTGATTAAATAGTCTAAGAAAGAAACTAACTCTATCAGTCCTTATGAGAATCTGATAGTTGCTAAGCCATCCAATTAAGTTTCTGCCTTTTATGAAACCCAAAATCTAATACCATCCTCTATTTATCTAAGATCCATTTTAATATTATCCTTCAATGTGTGCCTGGGTGTCCCAGGTTTTCTGTTCCCTTCACGTTTTCCACAAGAAATTGGTGTTCATTTCTTACTTCTCTCATGCATCCCTTATAATTTTCCATATTTTTCAGAGGCATTATTGAATTTTCTTTTAATTTCAGTTCACATTTGTGTGAATCTCACCCCAGAGTTGTTTGGGATGAGATGCCAGTCATCTGGTTGAAGCCCACAGACAAGTCTGTGCTGAGAGTTGGAAAACGCTATGTCTGCCCATTGTATACGACATCAGAACGTCATGGAATTCTGACCACCACTGGCCATTCCACTAATTTTGTTTTGGCCATACTCTTGAACACTGAGGAATCTCCATCCCACTGGATCAAACGTGGAGTTGCGCTACTATGCCAGCTTAATGAGTGACTGTATTCTTCTTCCTTGGCTCTACAACACAGTGTGGGTCTTTGCCGCCTCCATTCGGAGGTTTCTTGGTCTAAGTGTTCATTTATCAGTAGTGAGTGACGAGCCCACTGCCTCTGCAAAATTTGTACTCAATCCTGATTTCTCCCCTAGAGCCACCTAGTAGAGAATCAGAAGAGACATGGCCGCTGAATTTTGCTTATGAAACATCTCGTTCATGCTCGTAAGGAGTGACTGTATTGCTTCTGTTAAAATAAATGAAATTTTTGTCAGTTCATGTATCTCAGTACAGTGTGGAATATTACTTGAAAATGAAGACCTGGTGTGATATGCTAGAGGTAACGCATACTTCACAAAATTGTTTGAAATGTTTATTAATGTAGTTTGAAGTGACCATTTACATAATTAAAGTTGTCATATTATTATTCATAAAGTCCATTAAGGAAGACTTACTCGACCATTCACTATGCGCTTGATCGTCTTCACATCTGACTCGTGGAATTATTCCGCCGATTTACATCGCAAGAAGTTCTGCCAGCTTCTGTACGGAGTATACATAAAAATTTGAGACTAGCTTTTTTTTTGTAGCTTGGAATGAAATGATTACACTTCCCACATTAACCCTTTGAAGCTGAACCTTGTCTAAGTATTATTATCATAGGATTCAACTACTGTGGGTGCTGGCCACCCGTCAGTCCCCTCAATGCCTCCTGCATTGCCCGCTTGTGGTGATGTCATGACTGAATGATCACACATATACATATTCACTCTCACCTTTCAAAAATGTCTTTCTGCACTGGAACAGCGTTTAACACGCTACAGCTAGCCAGATTTCTCTTGAAACATGCGTGTGGTTCTAGTCCTAAACACAAACTCCTGCAACAGGCAACCAGTGGAGACAAAGTGTTTTCTCAAAACACTGGGATCAACCTTCATGGTGTCACAGCCCAGTAGAACATCATCATGAATGATCTTTAAATTCTGATGATCACTGTGATCATTGTGAACCACTGGACTATTGAGAATGCATTACGGGCGGGGTATGACTGTCCAGATGATTCGACTCGAGAACCACTGGAGAAAGTATGTTATGTGGAATGAAAGTCTTCAGGGTTTGTTGCTGTAATCATTATATGCTGATATTGGTGTGGTGAAGATCATGTCATACAAACTGTGTTTTTTAATTTCCATAATGCATGGTGTGTTGTTTTGCTTGAGATATTTTCACGTGGTAAGGGGGTTAACAGCTCATCTAACACAGTATTGCCCACTGTGTACAAAGTTCATTTGTATTGAATGTTCATTGATTTTGCAAGTGATGTGTTTTGCATTTGTTCTATCGCTGATTATGTTCCAATAACCATGTCCAAGAGTTGTGCATCCATAGTATTGTTTTGAAAATCCTTCATGTGATTGTTTTAGTATTTGGAGAAGTTGTTATTTAATGTACCTACCCCTCTGAGGGGTCCGCAGTGGCCGCGCGGTCTGAGGCATGGGCCTTGTGTCGCTGGGACCGTGGGTTCGAATCCCACTCAAGCCATGATGTTTTTCTGTGTTGTGCTGTCCTGTGTACAGGTAGAGGACTTGCGACGGGCCGATCCCTCGTCCAAGGAGTCCTACCGAAATGTCCATAGATCAAGCCAACGAAAAGTTGAGACCCGCAGTGATCAGGCACTTGAAGGACGGATCGTTCCCAGTATCCCAGTACCCCTCTGAGCGACAAAAGCAACATTGGCACTTGTGTTATTAGTATACGTATGTGACTCACAATTTTCGATACTGATTACTGCCTGAAAATGCAAACTAAAAATTTACCTCAATGTGCCTTGTAGTGACCATTCACGTACACCACAAAAAGTACCTCAACCACGTCAACTACTCAACTTGTCACCCAAAGCATCACGAAGCGAACGGACCACACGCCCTTCTCGTGAATACACCATGTTCGTATCTGCACAGCTTTTGTGTAAGTGGTGTGAACAACGGCCTAGCAACTAATCACGGAGTAGTTTGGGAGAGTCTATTACACGAGGCTGAACCTACTTTTGATTTCATCTTTGTTGTGTAGTAAGCGATTTTCGGTGAGTTGGATTTTAAATTGTCCATCCTGCACAATATAGACCAACTACAATAACCTAAACTAAACGCCATTTTTTCTTTAAACCTTAATTACCTTTAAAACATCAATTGACATTATGGAATAATAATAATATTTTATTGATACACTATATGCTTACTGTCCAAAATAATATCAATTTCTGGTGTTGTTATTTTGTATGGTTGTGTTTGTAATTTGACTTTGATGGTGAAACGCCATATGCGACCAGGAATGCAAAATGTCGGCTTGCAGGATGTCCTAATTTTCGCGAAGTCCGTTGTTTCGGACTTCCAACGAAGATAAGACGACGTCAGCCAAGCACAAGAACATCAAGTTAACGGGGGAAGTACATAGAAAAACTTAAAGCATTTGAGGACGTGTATTATAATTTTTAAAACAAAGTGACAATGGAAAGCAGTGAGTACGAACTTGTCCGCAACTTGACTTTGCTTTTCTTTCTTGAGCGACTTCTGGATAAAGGCGGGTCTAGGACATTGCACGATTTGAGCTGTCAGTTCGGCGCTAAGGGATTCACGAAAGAAATGCGCCAAATTGCTGGAGGTTCGCAGTCTGGACTAAGAAAGTTTTTGTCTCAATACCCGTCTCTTTTCTCAATCGATGGAGACAGTGTATTTGTCAACTCTTTTGCCGCCCCTTCAGACACCCAGCAGGACACTGGCCTCAAATATGTCGGAGGGAAGAGGGACTATGCCCAAGAAGCTGTGGAATATTTCAGCAAGAAGCTTATGCAGTATGGGCCAGGAACTGAGGTCCCCATCAAGAGCCTCTTGGGTAACAACCTAACCTAAATTTGTGTAATACATTTATTTCATAATGCAGTTTAACCTACAAGGAAGGTCGCATCTGTGAAATGTTATCATCTTTCCAGCACTTGCAAAACACTGGGCTGACATTTATGATAATTGTTGCAGTTTTGAACAGTGCCCTTTTTAGATGTGCATGAATGAAAAATTTAAATATGAACATAATTTAAAGTTTGTTGGAGAAACACTGGCAGCCATAAGATATTAAAGGTATCAGGTGCATAACATATAAGCAGATTATTTCCAGGAATTAAGTTCTAGAATTTCCTGAGTTAGTGTGCTGTGGTCAGATTCAGAGTTGTACCAAAATTAAAGTTGGCCAGGATGATGGGGTTAATATCCAGTCAACTGTTGTCATTTTGCATATAAAAACCCTTTCTTAGGTGGCATGGTAATGATGGCTTCTGTTTCACCATTATGGTATAAAAATGTAAATAGAAATACAGTCGTAGTTGAAAAGTTTGATGGTACTGAAATTTTTTTTCTCAAAAAGTTTATAACTTTTTCTTCATATGCATCTGGTAGCCTTAAACGCTTTCATCCAGCACATTTCCGTTGATACAGCATATCCAAACTGCCGCTTCTCACAAATGAAGCTCACTGGCTCCTGTTTGATTATCTCAAACTTTGGTTTGGAACTTATGAAGGCTCTTCGATTACTTTTAGTCTCCAGTAGAAGGTCCTTCTTCTCGAGACTCATATTGCACACCTCGCTGATGTCAAAACTTCTCCAGGCAGCTCGATTTCCAATTTCCTCTGCCACTCGAACTGTCTTAAATTTTTCACTCACGTATATGCTTCGTGCTTATTTTTCAAATAATAACTGAAGCAGGTAATGTTCAACCCCACTTTTAAAGGAAAGGAACAGGTAGAGTGAGACAGTTAGATATGCACTGACTCATACTTGCATAAGCAATGCACCTCATTGTACAGGTAAATTATTTTCATGAAAGTGTGCGTGGGGTACACGAGTAAATACAGCTTATGTGGATCATGAACTGATGTATGGCATTCAGTGTTTTGCCAAGATATTGTCATTTTTTTCATATATATCTCTTTCTGTTAATTTCTGTCTTGTATAAATTTGACGATAAAAGCAGTAGAGTGCGAGAGGAGTCGGTGGCCAGTGACCTTGAAATAAGTCTCCTCACTAAAAATGATTCAGAATTCTGTTATCTGATGAATTAGTGTGCTGAGAGGATTGAGTCCTTCATGAGTCAGTATTTTCAGTTGTAAATACATTCCAGTGTTTTATTGTTACTGTTATTGTTTTCTTTTTTTGATGAACGTACAACATTTGTGTGTTAAATTTTTCAGATATAATCTCAGGTTTTATGCCATTGTTATTCCCGTAATTGTTGACTTACGTAAACAATCTTTCATGCATATTTTGTAGGAGTGTTTGTAACTTCATACACAATTTCATGTTCCTAATGGCAATGGTTCATTAATTATCACTTTTGAACTTGGCGGAAAAGAAAGTTGTTAAATTCCTGCCATGTTGTTTTATGAAATTTACTCAGACAGACCAGTGTTTCCTGTTGCACACAGATGAACAGGAATGATTAATATTTTCATAACAATTTATAGAATGAACAAGTTTAGATGGTCGCAGCTCTTATTTAAGGAGACAGTATGTGTAACTCCGTTATTTAGCTTCGTTATCACACAGACTCAAGACAACAGTATGTTGTTATTGTTTCTGACATTGTTACTTGGAAGTGTGAAATAAGAATTTGATGTATTGAGCAGCTTGGCACAGGCAATTTTGCCTGGGTTCCAGCTATCATCCTCATGATTTGGGACCTGTGAACCAACCTGCATATTGATAGTGCGTGAACATATCCTTGTATGATGTTACAGGACACAGGTCTCAGGCATCTCCCGAAGTCCGCCATATCTCGGGTCAGCATGGCAAAGAGTTCCGTGACTTCCTCGTCCGTTACCCAGATACTTTTGTGGTTGGGGAGGAGACGGTCATGCTAAAGGAGTGGGAGGGTCAGGAGCCACAGCCGTTTCATGAACTGGAGCAGGTAACGCTCCGATATATATTTTAAGGTAGTCTCGCATACCTTCATTATTACCGAGAGTTCCTTGACATGATTACCGTGGCAATGGTATAAAAGACACATGTTGTCGTATAAGGTTGAAAATTGCTTAGCAATGTTACCATGGCAACATTTATATTAACAGTATACACAAATGTGACATTTTCATGTGCTGTTATAAATTATCGTGGCTAAATGATATAATTTTTAAGTGTATTTTATCAGAACTGTGTCCATGTTCTTCACTTCACTTCACTGTTCAATACTTGGAGATGCTTAGATACGCTGCAGACCTAAAGTACAGGAATATGCACAAAAATATAGTACATTTGCCAGTCATAAGCCTTAATAAATAAGTAGTGTATGGTTTGTAAGCATATGGCCTTCTGCTGGTGATTAAAATATTTTCAGAAATACTATTGTCGCCACAATCACTCGCATTCATCTACAAACGTGCCTTTCTGATGAAAACATTTACTTACTGCATCTGCTTATAGTTTAGTTTTGTTACTTGCGATTAGACAGGAAACGCAGTCAAAGTTTATCTGTTAATAATTTTAAAAATTGTAGAAAGGTCATCAAATGTGCACAAATACAGTTTTGTGATGGAGGTCTCAGGGGGGGAAGATGGTCCTCAGTGTCACTTTGTTATTGCTGTAAACAAATATTTACAGTTGATACTGTTCCTTTGTGTTTTTCAGGTACACATTGATCCCGCAGTCACGGCACAGTTACTGGGATTTCTTTCGCAGTGTGTTGAGATAAAAGGCCCAATGTTGGTTGACCAGTTGTTCCATGCCGTAGCTTCATCGCGCATTCCCCAAGATCAGTGGTCGTGCATGTTTAACACCCCCCAGGATCTCTCTACCTTCCTCAAAATGCACTCTAACGTCTTTCACGTGCAGTCGAATCTCGTGAGTTTAATTTCTGTTCCTCCTCAAACTTCCCCCGCTAAGTCTTGCAGCAAACGCAGTTGCCAAATCTCCACCAGTCCACAACTGTGTTCCCCCTCCCATCAGAACAACAACATCAATAACAATGTTACCAATGTTAGCTCAAACCCCATAACATTATCCAGTGTTAATAATAACGTAGAGTCCCAGGGAGGGTGTCTGCCAGCACCAGTTCCTCCTGCTGCAACCCTTCAGAATCAGACGTTGAAACAACGAATCAATTCACTGGTTATAAAAACAATTGCAGATAACGCAGAAAGGGACAGAAGTTATGCTGCCTCTGCATTGGCAAATAATCATCCTCCTGGTGGCGACGCTTGGAAACTGAAAGTACTGCAGAACACGAGGGTCGTCGTTACTGTGAAGGAGAGCCTTCAGGTAAGTAAGACGTCGTGGCTCCTAAGTGCAATTTTCGCTTTAAAGGACTGATGTGTTTTATTAACTTGAGAACCACACACTGCAGAATGAAACTTGCAGAATATATAAAACAAACAACTTTTATTGTAGTGTTACGTGTTTTAATATATACTGCATTGTATATTCATATATTTATAAGCAGCCTTTGTGTTTCCGTATGAAGCTTATCCTTTGCTGGGAAATTCGTAATTAATCGCAGTAGCACAGTAGGGACAGCCTTCAGCCAAAGTATTCACTTGCAGCTTAGCATTGGTATGAAACATTTATATTGTGGCACTTGAAATTATTCACTATCTGGCCCTTTTCCGTCTTCAGGCGAGAGGAACGGTACCTACTCAGTTGGGTCCACCAGAGGGAGCTAATCTCTGTCCGAGCAGCATATAATTTTAAGTGTAATTAACAATCGTCAGAACCCTTCAGAATTGAATTTATATCGTGAGCTGTTCAGTGCAGTGCAGTGTTGTCACATTTTGCCGTTCAGCCATTGCAAGTCTGGCCTGAACCACCTTACTTAAGATACGCTTGGAAACACTTGTGAGTTTGGCTCTCTACCACGAGACCCAACTGAAACCGGTTGAGAAGCGCGTGAATGCACTTGGCCCACCCCACACTTTGCGGCCTGTTGCATACCTTTCGTCTGATGCGTTTCTGCCCGTGTTTCACAAGGAAAGGAATCTGATAATCTGCTTTCATGTTTAATTTCACAGCATTTTGAGATACAAAAATGTCCCCTTGACTCTTCTTGAAATGCTCTTAAAGAAATAAATTTTATGGCTGTGTATATTCAGGAAATTGTGGAAATTGTGTTCAGATTTAGGAATCAGAATGTCATCGCTGGTGGGACTCCTTCATTTCATGTCTTATTTACTAAACTGACTTTATTTTTGCCATATCCAATTCAGAAGCAGCGCGGAATTTAAATTACCGCGTAGAAGGGTTAAGAAGTACTACTCCAAATTTTACTTATTTTTGTGGACATTTCTGAACTTTACTCTTATTTAGTTTGACAGTCTGTGCTCAACATAAAGTATGTCCTTATCCAGAAATTTTAATTTATATTGAAAACTGCTTATTTAAATAAATTTGTTTGATCACTGTGACAGTTTTTCTCTTAGGTTGTGGAGGATATCTTGTCTCGAGCAGCCACAGAGAAGGTCGCTGTTTCATTTGACTGTGAGGGCATCAACCTTGGTGTCAAAGGGCAGTTAAAGCTTGGTACTGCGTCAGGTTTGGCGTACATCTTCGATCTTATCACATGTCCCACCCTTGTCACAGCCGGTGGACTGCAGCATCTCCTTGAATCAGAGACTGTTACGAAGGTAAGCGTTTACTCTCGAGTCCCCAGAATTTTTTCCTGGAGACCATGTAGGAAAATTCTATACAGACCACTTTTGAAAGTAATAATTTCGTACTGAAATGTATGTAAGTATGTTTAGTAATGGGTAAGGCGCATGACTTTAGCCCCCTTACCTATAAATGTCTCCTTGCAGCAGAGTCCTTCCTGATAAGCTGATAGTCACACAGCTGGTTATGACATTCTGTGTCTTATGTGGAATGAGGGTTTGTGACTGTTCACAAGACATCACCACGTCCATATTCCGAACAAACTGTATGTACCTAGTCTGCATTGTCGAACGCGACTCCTGTAAGATTAGTGGATTGTGTATTTAATACAAGGCGGTGGGAAGAGAGTCAGTGAAAGTACATACGACACAAATAACAGGCCAATGTAAGTGCAACCGTTAGCGATGCTGTCTTTCATGATCGTATTCAATCTTGTATCAACTTGCATCAAGATGGCTGTCTAGTGGGTAATGTTGTGTAGTCTGGTAGAAGCTTACAACAATCTAGAGGTCCTTGCTGCCTCCATCACCCTGATGATGGAGGCATTATGACCTCTGAAACGTTGGTAAACTTCTACGAGACTACACGGCGCTACAGCCCAGAAGATGGAAATCTTCAAACTCACCGCCTTGAAAACCTCAAATCCTACAACTTAGATCAACTCTCTCAGTATTAAAGCCTTTCCACTTAATCATCAAAACTTGACTTTTACAGTTACTAAATTCAATTTCTTGTAATAATTCCAGTTCCATTATTACTAGATTGTCATTCTGTGCTGAAGAATGAGAATTGAGTTGTTTTATTTTCGTAACACAACAGTGGAGTTAGAAGCTTCTGATCCACGGATTCTGTAATGACCGTACCTCACGGACCTAATCTGAATGGTGCTAGTAGTTTATTGGTGACAGGGAGTTAGAGTGCACCACTGTGAGGTATCCTATAGTGTCTGGGACACGGAAACCAATGCTGTGGATCACTAACAAGGAACTTATACATGTCTTTCTGCAATTTCGTTCTAACACTTTGAATCATATTGGACAAAGTTGAAAACAAGAAAAGACATTACACGTGCAATGTGTCATCTCAGGCCATAGGAAAGGGAAAACCCGGCATTTGTAACTTTAGCCCCGTCCACTGAAATTAAATGACTCAAATGCTAACATTTACGTGAATTCACAAACAGGAACAAACTGTCGTTGATAACACATTTAAAGTGTTGGCTTACCACTTTTATAGAAAAATATGTGGCAGTGGTGAATGCTTACTCACATTTTACTGTAGGAAAATGGGAGGATGCTGGAAAACTGCTCCGGAATGGTTTAAAGAGCATTCTAAGAGTACTTCATCACGCAGACAGAAGAGATAACTCTTGTAAAGGATTATGAGAAGAAATGAAATTGGAAGTCTCAGAAAGACTGCAGTGTGACAGCAGATGGTAGAAAGCACAAAGCAGGAAAAATGGCCAAGTACTGCATTTGAGTATTGTTTATAAAAGAGTTGGAAAACATTTTTTTGTTGATTGAATTTGAAGGAAATTTTGTGCATGTTCGTGCTAAACAACTAAATTTTATTCTCAGAGTTTTGATTTTTAGGTTTAATATTGTCGTAGATGATGGTATATTTGCAAAAAACGTCTGAAATGCTTTCAGTGAATGTAGTTCGTTCCATTGTTTTGTTTTAGGTTCTTCATGATTGCCGCAATGATAGCGTTAACTTATACAATCAGTTCAACATAACCCTTCGCAACGTCTTTGACACACAGGTGAGTGGAACTGAAAGTGACTCGCTCCATTTGATTGTTTGCGGTTTTTATGGTCGGTAAATAGTTCTCGTCTAATTTAGTCATGGAACAGAAGACAAGTATATTATTGAAGATTTCCGTCTTCTGGGTTGTTGCGCTGTGTAGTCTGCCTCCGTCATCAGGGTGATTCATCACCCTGATGACGGAGGCAGTATGACCTCTGAAACGTTGGTTAACATCGACCAGACTACACAGCGCAACAACCCAGAAGACAGAAATCTTCATACTCTTCGCCCTGATGACGGAGGCAGTATGATCTCTGAAACGTTGGTTAACATCGACCAGACTACACAGCGCAACAACCCAGAAGACAGAAATCTTCATACTCTTCGCCCTGATGACGGAGGCAGTATGATCTCTGAAACGTTGGTTAACATCGACCAGACTACACAGCGCAACAACCCAGAAGACAGAAATCTTCATACTCTTCGCCCTGATGACGGAGGCAGTATGATCTCTGAAACGTTGGTTAACATCGACCAGACTACACAGCGCAACAACCCAGAAGACAGAAATCTTCATACTCTTCGCCCTGATGACGGAGGCAGTATGATCTCTGAAACGTTGGTTAACATCGACCAGACTACACAGCGCAACAATCCAGAAGATAGAAATCTTCATACTCACCGCTGTGAGAACCTCAAGTCTTACAAGTATATTATTGTATGAAAGGCATTTCACTGGATGTGACATTTTCCTTTGCCTGCAAAGTGAATGTTAAATAACTGAAAATATGCTTTAACTACTTCCTTCCAAATTTTATCTGTTTTACAATTTATAAACATTTATGTCTGTCTCTAATAGCTGTCAGTGTAAGAATGAGGTATGAAAATGTATAAATCAGTTCAAGGTGTTAATATTAATTCCCTAGTATCAGCTTCATCTGGTACAATTAAAAGAACCCTTTTCTTTGTGACAAAGTAAAACAGGAGATCAGCTGCAGGATTCAGTGTACTCCAAGGCTGTTATGAACTGCGTAAGGAACATGGCAGATCAGAAGAGTGGCTGCGGAGTTGGATAAGAATCTGCGTTAGCTTCTTCTGAGCATATTAATAGCAAAAATTTTATTCTCTATGATTAAACAGCATAGCTCAGTCAGTATAGTGACGGGCTACGGGCTGGACGACTGGGGTTCGATCCCCGACGGGGGCAGAGGATTTTTCCTCTAGCCTCTGCGTCCAGATTGGTTTATGGATCCACCCAGCCTCCTGTCAAATGGATACTGGGGACCTTTCGTGCCGATCACTGACCCCTGTCTAGTGCTGAGGTCAAGAATGAGTAGGAGCTGTATCACCTGCCCCCCCAAGCGCCTACATAGCGTACAGCAGGACAGCTTTGCTTTGGCTGCTTTCTGTCATTAAGACAATAATTCTGCATGTGTAACACATAAAGACAGATAGATCCAATATAGAATAAATGTAGTGAAGCAGCTAACTTGAAACTTGTTGCCATGCAAGACGATATCAGTTCATGTGTTTCAAACAGTGCAATGTTTCAAATTGCCGTGTTGGCTGCGTCGTGGCTCACCACCAGCCAAGTAATGCTGAAGTGCAGGAGTGAGGAATGAGTTGAAATTGTAAGCAAGAACATGAGAAATAATATCTTATTTATGCACTCTAAAAGTTGCATGGCAAAATAATTTTTAAAGTTTTTAAGTATAATGACTTTTGTAAAAGAATATGCATATTTTCCAAACCACTCATTTGAAATTAAAATATCCAGAAAGGAACTGAGATCATAGCAGCAGACCATACATCTTCAAGGTAGAAAGGGTCTTAATAGTGCTAAGGTTAATTTAAGACAAAATATAGCATCTGTTCAGACCTGAAATTCTTCGTTTGTCTTACAAGTTCTTTGACCACTGCAGAAGTATGAATTTTTCTTTAATTTTTCTCTGATGGAGAACAATAACAAACTATTGCATATTGTGCAGATGTTGAAATTTCAGAATTTGATGTTGTGAAATTTTTGATGCGTCCTTTAACTGTGACATCCTCTTTCGTGAAGACTGATACAACGTATACAGGCTTTCCAGAAAATAATCAGCATCAACAGTTAATTTTACATTTTTTACTGCATTCAAGACACTTAAATTTATTCTAAAGACAGTCAGTATAAACTAATTCAATAACTTTAATTCTGGCATATTTTCCGTACAATATCAGAAACTACAAATTAGACTTTGTGTATTGTAATATTAGTCTTAGAGGTAACATTTCCTTCTTAAACATGCTAGCTTTAAAATTTTAAGTAATGGAGCTCTGACGTTTCTTTGTGGCCTTTGTTTTTATATTCTATTAAGTATATTGCTTATAGTAACTTATAATTTCATGGAGAACTTACAGAAAACTTTATCTTCCCTCTCCCATTCATTTTTCAACTTGAAGTTTTCTTGAGAGTTACTTAAATAATCAAATCTACTGTGAGAAACTTCAATGTGTCTGGCAATGTTTTTTTAAATTATTTAAAGTGTCAAAAATTTATAGTTTCCCAAAGAGCTGTAAATCGCATCCGAAATGTAGGTCCTGTTGAAGGCCTTAAAGTGGTAGAAGAATGAGTCTCCTGTCCTGTTCAGAGTCAGGGTATAAATGGTGCAGTGATTCAGCATTAAGGAAGATTTACATTTCGAAATATTATAATTTTTTTACCTCGCCCAGTAACCGTACCACCCAGTATTGTTAAAGTCATAGATGGTCACAGAATTTGTGCTCGCAAACTTTCAATCTGGTGGAAAGTGACTCTCCAGTGTCGTGCTACTACAAGGAACAGAGAGAGTGAGACGTTGTAAGATGTAATTGGCAGTGGAAGGTGACTGCATCTGTATTGTTACAGGCGGCACATGCGGTCTTGCAGCTTCAGGAATCTGGGAAACCTGTGTATAAGGTGAAGAACGTGTCATTGAACGCTCTTTGTAAACTGTGTGATGCCCCCGTAAACCCCATGAAGGATCAGCTGAAGAATGTGTACCGCAGGGACCAGCGTTACTGGGGCAGACGCCCGCTGACTCGGGATATGATGCTATATGCTGCGTCGGATGTTTTAGTCCTAGTACCGCAGGTGTACACTGCCATGACAAGGTCGGTGGACGTGAAATAATTCTAATCTGAAATGGATGAAACCTCTCTCGCTTGTATTCCTTAGAGATAGTTTCTTACATTTATTTGCACGTCCCATGAGTCATTCAGTATTATTTAGAGCCATGTAAAAAATGTAATGGAAATGGATAAAAGTAACATGAAGAAACGTCATTTCAGTCGGCATTGTGTAATAAGCAACTGTTCTTTATGTTGGCAGGCTGATCAAGCCAGAGTATGAGTCCCTTCTGAAGGAGCTCTGTGAGGAACAGATTTTCATGCATATTAAGCCAGGTGATGTAAAACAGCGCAAGAAACAGCGCAAAGTTGAAACAGAACTGGCAGATTTGCGAAACAAACTTTCAGTAAGCATTAACAAGACAAACATCGTGCTCAGCAACAGGGAGATTCGTCTGCTCAGGTGAGATTCTTCACTTGCGCTGTCTTGCCTAGTCTGTTAACATCGCGGTAATTTGTGTTGCGCTGCGTTGAAAACTTCCGAATTCGGGCGTGTATAAATTACAGGAGTTTGCAAAAGAAAGTTGTGGACATAATATTAGAGGTAAATAAAGGGATGGATGAAGCTCGGTTAATATGGTTATGAGATGTATTTATCTATTTGTAATTTATTTAACAGTGCTGTCAGTAACTCAAACTACGGTAAACTCTCAATTTTCCAGGCTAATGAAGGGGAGATGTACACATAATTAAAAACGTGGATAATGCAGAATATTTTGTTTGGTATTTTCACGTAACGTCGCAGGATATTTTACACAACTGGCATTTATTTTTAGAAATACACTTAGTTTGTAATTGTTGTGCATCGTTGGACTCGTCATGGCTGTTGTGTTGGTGATAGCAGTGACAGTAAGCAGCCATGTTGCACCAGTCACACTGCAGAAAATGAAGCAGGTAGGACAAGATGATGGCAGTCTTGTCTAGCAAGGGAATGATTCTGGTATTGAATTTCACATGAGTGAAAGTGATAAAAGTGGGCTAAGTACAGTCTATAATGAGAGTGTTGATATTGTTCATTTCTTTTACAAAAATGTGACACCAGAAATAATAAAATCTATCGGAGAACGTTCTCTCAGAACGTGACAGCTGCAGTGTTTGCCAAAATACTGGATAACTTTTCAGTTTTTGAAACAAGCTTATCCCTGAAACCCGAAGATTTCCATTGAACTTCAGCCATGAAAACCTAAGGACAAGAATTATCAAAGAGCATGAACAAATATCACTCTTATGTTATTGAGAAAGAGACTCCAACCCTTAACACTTGTCTACAGAAATGTACTGACATGTGTGAAGATTAATTAATACATCTTTGGTAATGTGCTTGTTGATAAAAGAAATGGAAAACTAGTGACATATGTGTTGGTCTAAAGAGCCATGTTGTATTTTCTAATTTATTCTGAAGTCATGGATCATGAGAGATTTTTACTTTTTCTATCACTCAAGAAACTCTGAATGGGATTTCATTAAATTTGTTTTTGAAGAGTTTTACCAGAACCTGTCGACATACGATGAAGCTAATAAGCTAATAGGCGTGAATTATATGAATGGGGCAGTAACATATGATGAAGCTAATAAGCTAGTAGGCGTGAATTATATGAATGGGGCAGTCAGATGAGCAGTAGGATTTGAGGTTTTCACCGCGGTGAGTCCAAAGGTAGGGCTATCTTCTGAGTTGTGCCATTTAGTCTGGTAGAAGTTTACCAGCATTTCAGGGGTCCTTGCTGCCTCCATCATCAGGGCGATGACATTAGTAAACTTCTACCAGCGTACATGGTGCTACAACCCAGAAGACCGCCATCTCTGAGTTTGTTCTGCTTTACAGGTACCTGGATTTAACAGAAGAGGAGAAGGAGAAGCTGAGGGGTTCATACAAAGTTGCACGGAAACTGGAGAAGCTGGAGAACGCACAGGACAGGCACGTACTGTACACGAAACTTGTCTGTTTGCAAGTTGACCCATTTGACAGAAAAAACTGTATATAACCTTTTAAAAAAGTAAAGTAAAGCTGTCCCACTATACACCATGTAGGCGCTTTGGGGGGGGGGGGGGAGAGGCGGTATAGCTCCTACTCATTCTTGACCTCGGCACTAGATGGGGGTGAGTGGTCGGCATCATGCCTTGGCTGTGCTTTACCCCCAAGAAAGGACCCTGGTACCTATCAGATACGAGACTGGGCGGGCCCCAGAACAAGTCTGGATGCAGAAGCTAGAGGAAAAATAATACATTGATATCTGTTTCAAAACGTGGTTTAAAAATTGGTTGGAAAATACAATTTTGAACTTGAATTAAAAACAAAACAAAATAAACATGTCACTTATAAACATGATATAAAAATGATTTTTCAGCCAATGGAATGCAGTGTTTGTCAGGCGAGCGGTTTGAATTCCGCTGTAACACCTTTTTAAAATTTCAATACAGATTTGAATAGAAATCTTATACTTATGAGATATTTTTCTTCAGAGATGGGAAGAGTGAAGATGAAGATGAAGACGAGGACTGCGACGGTTGTAATGGCGACAGCGGTGATTTCCCAAGTTTAGAGAACAGTGGGAAAACTTCACCTTCATCCGGTGAGTACTGCAAACATGTACGTGTGAGAGAACTTGATTGCATTGTGTAAGATGTAATCATTCTCAGAAGAGGAAATTTGTGTGCAGGGATTTTCACGATGTTATCAGAAATTTTAACTCTGCATCAGGGCATTACAGACATAACGAGTCACTGAGGGCCACATACGGTAACTTGTACATCCATTTATTTATTCGTTGGGAGCTGCAGCGTTGAAATATCGACACATTTATGTCCCGAGTTCATGAGGGTAATTTTAAAATTACTCTCAAATGTTGCATGACGAATCACATATGCCCTACTGATAGATTTACAGCTATTTATAACATTTCAGGTGGGTTAACGTCGCCTAGAACGCCCGTGTCGGAGCCCTTGTCTTTGACTGAGTCGATGCAGTTGTTAGACGAGATACTTTCTGATGGACGAATGGAAAGGCTTGACAAAATTGAGCGGCTGGAAGCAGTTCTCTCCGTGATCACGTCTCCACCGGCTGAAAGTGGTGGAACAGAGAGTGTTCTTCCATGTTGTTTGTGTCGGTGTCACGCTAATGCTAGTCTGTGCGACCAGCAGGGTACTGCAGGTTCAAAGGCACGAGGTCAGTAGATTTGCTTATCTAACTTTCATCAAGATTAGGTTCTTCAAATCATTTGATCGTAATTTTTGTGTGTTGTGTTTTTCAGATTAAATTAAGAGCATTAGTTGCAATTAGCATTAGCTTCAATAGAGCTAGGGTGAAGGATAAGCTGAGTTACTTTTTTGGGGATCAATTAATTCCAGAGGCAAATAGCTTTAAGTACTTAGGAATACTTATTCGCAGTGATCTGAGCTGGGCAGATCATGTGAATTATACACTAATTAAAGCATGGAAGGCTCTCCATTTCGTAATGCGTATACTAAAAAAGGGAAATAACAATACGAAACGTTTAGCTTATACGTCGCTAGTGAGACCGATACGTGAATATGGAGCTGTGTGTTGGGACCCTTACAGGGAAGGACAGGTAAGAGCACTAAATCGGGTGCAGAAGAGAGCGGCTAAATTTGCTAATTTCACGAACGAATCTGGTTGGGAAACATTGGCACAGCGTAGATTGATAGCCCGAATGTGCGCCCTTTTCAAAGCATACACGGGGGGCCGGGCTTGGAAAATGATAGAGGATAGATTATTAAAGCCATGCTACCTGGGCAGGGACGATCATACTCGGAAAATTAGGACTAGGAAACAAAGAACGGATGTAGGCAAATATTCCTTTGTAAATAGGACCATAAGAAGCTGGAACCAATTACCTCCAGGCGTGCTAGAGTCTTTCCCCTGTAAATTAGGCACCTTTAGAAAGAGGGTCAGAAAAGTAGTTACAAGCTAAGGGTTATTAAGTTGGGAATAAATGGTGATAAGTGAAGTGAAGTGTCTTAGTCTCCAAGTGATGAAGGGCTGTAGTTCTTTGGGATAAAATTTTCATGTACTGAGAGCGGACTTTATATTCCACTCTTAAGTATTGTGATTAATTAGTGGATGTGTGTTTTTTTATTGTGTGTCAGATGTTTTATTTTGAGTGTGGTATGTTGTATTGTTGTGTCTCATTGTATTGTTGTGTGAGTGCATCAGTTCATGACGTTTGTAATACATTACAGTTATTGTCTTATGTCTAGGTGGTATTAAGTTCTTTTTTTTAAGTTAAGTACTTGAGGTTGGATGGTTTTGTAATTTATGAGTTGGTTGATTTTGAGTGGGATGTGTTGTTTTTGTTGTGTCCTTTTGTTTATTGTTTTGTTCTGTCTCTGTGTTGATGTATCTCATTGTATGTTGTGTCTTATGGTTTTTGTTGTGTCCTTTGTTTATTGTTTTGTTCTGTCTCTGTGTTGATGTATCTCATTGTATGTTGTGTCTTATGGTTTTTGTTGTGTCCTTTGTTTATTGTTTTGTTCTGTCTCTGTGTTGATGTATCTCATTGTATGTTGTGTCTTATGGTTTTTGTTGTGTCCTTTGTTTATTGTTTTGTTCTGTCTCTGTGTTGATGTATCTCATTGTATGTTGTGTCTTATGGTTTTTGTTGTGTCCTTTGTTTATTGTTTTGTTCTGTCTCTGTGTTGATGTATCTCATTGTATGTTGTGTCTTATGGTTTTTGTTGTGTCCTTTGTTTATTGTTTTGTTCTGTCTCATTGTTTTGTATGTTATTGTAGGACACTGCCACCGGGTATAAACCCATTTGCAGTCAATAATAAATAAATAATAATAATAATAATACAGTGAGATTTTTCGGTACTGCAGGAAAAACAAACACAGTAACATTGAATAATTAAATATTCAGCATTTTCTCAGTACAGAGTTACTTCAGAAGGTGTGAAGAATCGGAGTGTGAATGAAAATAATATTCACGAATAATTTAGTCTGAAAATAAGGGCTGAGAAACTAATACTTAGATGTTTGAACCCCTGGGAGTGCAATATTATACTGAATTTTACATTATATGAAAGTGGCCGGCTGTGACATGGTCGACGAACTGCCTAAGAAACACTAAAGGAAATTCTTTTGTCACAATGTGGTTGTGGGAACATTTTAGTGTATCAGTTATATATAAAAATGAGAAATATTGTACATTTTTACTGCTATTTTAATATAATTTACAAGTAATCGTAACAGCTAAAATATGTCGTCTCTGTCCTCATAACATTTGATTATTATTTTTCAGTTACTTTGTTATATTTTTATGGTACAAATAATATTTTGTTCCAGATGTTGGCAGTTCTGGTGGACAGGTTGATGTGGCATCTCAGACACATTCAACTGGCGACATTGTGATAACAAGAATCTTTTTCGTCGAGGAGGAGAAGGAACGAGAGAAGACTCTCACGTCAAGCCCCAGGAGGGGCCCCTTACCTCGGCAACATTCTCCTTCCTCCCCCTCCTAGGATAGGACTTCGCTTAGGGATCTTGTTGTTATCGCTACATCTTCTAGAAAGAAGAATCTCTGTTTTGGACAAAAATTATAATTATAATTCTAAATTATTAATAATAATTATTCTGTTCTTGGGTTGAAGTCGCCTGTTACATTTGCAGGGATCACAGGTTCGGTAGTTGAGCCTTAGCGATACTTGAACAAGTTTCTGCTAGGTGAGAGTTGTCTCAGTTAGAAGTCACAAGTGCCAACATGTAAGATTGTCTTCCTACAGACTAGACGTACTAACAGGATGACTTACTGTCCATAGCAAGAGCTTGTGTGAACGATTTCTTATTTCCTTCTGCCTATTTTTATGTTGCTGGCAACAGAATTTACAAGATTCCATTCAAGTATATCCTGTAAAATAAAATAATTATAGCCCAAAATTATCCTATTTATGAAACATTGTTTGGTATCTATACAGGTTTTTAGAATCACCCTGTATAAGGATAAAATTTCTACACAAGACTAGGCAGTAAGTTAGGGGTATCCAGAATTTTGTTAGAGATTTGTTATTGTTACTGCTGTTGTTTTCAGTGCTGCTGCTTACATTTTTATATAATTTTATAGGTAAAAATTTACCTAAGTACTTTTCAAGTTTGATGCAAATTCTCACTTTTATATTCTAGACTGTGTTGTAATGTGAAAATTTACTGTTAAGAAAAACATTTATATTTCGAATTTATGCTGCAAACATTTGCTGGTACTGAGGTGGTTGGGAAACATTTTTATATTTCTGCAGGGGTTTAAAATTTTTTCTAAGTTTTTAAAGTAAATTTTTCCATTACAGTTTGTATGAGCCACGTCAGATTTGCGTACTGCGGTATGGAGGAAGATAAACTCTTAATTAACAGTAGTTTAATCGTATGTTTCATTGTCCTGTGATGTGTGTGTGGGGGGGGGGGGAGATGTGACAACCTTCTTCAGAACAGTAAATGTAATTAAATACTCTCTGATGTGTTTTACCATTATTAAAATAGGATGTGTAGTTGATGGTGTTTCTGCCAGAGGCATCGTGAAACAGAATAACGTACATGCTCATTATAACAAGTGATTCCACATTTGAATAAAAGTCTTGTCATATTCCGTTTGGAACTGTAAGATGTTCATTTAATGTTTGTCATGAAATCTGAACTAGTTTCTTATTATGGAAGTAGATTGAATTGAAAATCATAATGTGTGGCGCTTGCTTCCACAGAGTACGTCTGCAGATGCTGCATGTAAGCGCACTTACCATAGTGTCCGTCTTTTCTTTTCTCTCTTTCTTTCTTTTTTTTTTTCTCCAGAGAATTTTGTTGAATAATGCTTAAATTTTTTAGACTCGCAGAAAAGACGTGCCTTGCCACTGCTAATGTGTGATAACTGTGGAAGTTGGTGCGTGGGTGAAAAATGCACTTACATCACAGGTTTGAATTCTGGAAGACTTCACTTCATCCAAAAAAAATGATATATTGTGTTGAGAATGTAAACTAATTTTTTTTACGGGAAAAGTTTTCCTGTTGACGTCACACATCCTGTGCCTGGCACAGAGTGGACGTTGTTGGTGGCAGAATGTTTTTGTGAAAGGAAGAATCCTTGTGGAATGTACACATTATTTATTTGTATGTTTTTCAGTTTAATCAGACTTCATGGCTCTACTTCGTAGATATGTTGTTTGCATTTGTTATTCTTACTGATTTGTATATTCAGATCCGCAGACTGTTGTCCACGTTATTTATTTATACCGAAGTCTACGCCACTTCACATTTTGAGCATTGAATTAGGCCCTACAGCTGAGTTTCTCAGCCTGAGGGCTGAATGTGTATTATGTGGAGCCCACATATTTTGCAATATTGCGTTACTGACGTGATGCAGAAAACGTGCTTTGCTGATGTCTGTACTTGGCAGTAGATATTGCTGTGAGCAAATGTACAGTTTACTGAAGAATTTTAAATCAAAAGTTGGATGTGTGTTACTGATGGGATTTTGGAAGGATGCGTGCGTATTGCAACAACAGAGATTACAGATTACTCGAGCAGAAGCAGCGTTTTATGTATATATATATATATATATCTATGGTCTGATTTTGTTCAAAAATGTTATTGAGTAATGTGTGTTCATAGTACTAAGCCTATTTAATAGTATTTTTAATAAATTTCCATAACATTTCAATAAATTGTCCACGGAAGTTCTTCATGGTCTAGTGTGAGTGAAGTGCATCTTCATGGGTCGTGTTGTTTGCAACAGTGGGTCTGGGATTCTCGCTGTTGGAACCCTTTGTCACACAAATTTGGGGAGGGAGATCATTATTTTGATCACATTAGTACAATAATTATCAAATGCTCATTAATGACCTCAGGATACTTTAGTGTAGGTATGACCTATAGCATAAGAGTGACCTTTGGGTCCCATTACTAGAACAGTGGCTTATGAGTTGTGGCACGAAGAACAGCTTTGGAATGTCATTGTACTCCAAAGAGTACATATTCCCAACTTTGTTTATTATCTTGTGGCCCCAGGTCTCGAAAGGTGAAGAACCCCTGCCGCGCGGTGTTCGGATCACAGGCCTTCCACAATGAGGATGTTCAGAAACATTTTCTCAACTTTCTCCCGTTTCGTCGAACATTTGTTGCCGGTAATCGCTGTCACCATGAACTTAGAGGGAAAAATTGGGATTCTGAGCTACAGAAAAGCATCCGGTATCACCGACGCTAAATTACTTTGGCAATTGATATGAAGTTCTTTGATGAAACTTTATATTTTAATGAGGAAAATTCAAAATTGGGGTTTACTGTGACACACATTTATGATCCTGAGCAAAGAAAAAAATTAGACCATGGTATTTGAATCTCTATTGAAATATTAAGAATGTTAAAACTAAGTTTATATGTGAGTGCAAAGTGCATCTTAAGGTGACTAATTTCGGCTTTTTTAACCATGTAGATACAAAACCAAATAGAAAACAATTTTAACTAGCTGAGTAGTGTTAGTAACTTAATATGATAAGTGACGAATGGTACTATACCATGGGAAATAATACAATAGCTTTAATTTTCGCTAGGATTAAGCATAATTGACGTTCGTGCAGGAAACTGACGACGAGTTTCAGTGTGCACAGCTTAATGTGGTGATTGTAAGTAATTACTTGTAGCCGTAGGTTTTTCCTTCGACGTGATTGGGCACGTATTTAAAGAGAGGTGAAAATGAGGTTGCAGATATGTTGGGGTCTTAAAATCATAATACAAGAAGATTCATGTTCTTGGTACAAAATAATATAATTTGGGGTTATAAGTAGTTAGATTCTACCTTTTGTTTCTTTTAACGGTGTTTCGGACACGGTTTTCAAACTGTTTGAAAGTTCTAATGTGTGGTAAGAGCCAGTCTCTTGAATAATTTGTTGTCACGAATGGTAACGTTTTATGATTTGATGGTTGAACGGAACCTGCAGAACTGTTTGACGGGGCTTGTCATGGGGCTGATTGAACCTGTTATATACATTGTGCACCAACTAGGCGAGGTGCGTGGAATGTAGTTCTGTAAAATGCCATATTGGTGCGAACGTTTAATGTTGTAGGCAGAATAATGGCATTTGTGTCACTTAGGTGTTTCATAGGGGGTTTTTGCTCTAAATACTTGCAGTTTTCATGTAAATTGCATTGCATTCGCATAGAAATGAGCCTCGACTGGGGTGGCAGGCGGAGTGACTTGATGAGAAAAGAAGCTGAGGGCCATTTCATGCGCTGTTGGGCCACTGATCTCTCTGGCTGTGATGTGTAAGGGACGATGTTCACTGCTCCAGAACTTAGTATAGGCAGTCCACATTAACGTGCTTCTGAATACTACAATTCCGTTGTAAATCAGTTTTCATGTTTCCATATAACACTTCCACTGCCATGTGCATCAAACAAAGTTTTAATTTCCGCCAGTGCCAAACGCGCTTATCTCCCATAGATGATGAATGAAGCTTTGACGTGCTGATTTATGGATTCACAAATGATATTCTCTCACATAATAACCTCCTGTTCCCTTACAAACATGCAGTTGACTCGTGATAGAGATGACTAATGCAAACTGTGATTGACCGAAACATTGTGTGAAAGTGAACATCAGATTACCTTCAAATGTAATCTGAAATGTTTAAGAAAATGCTTCAATTTTTCCCCTCGTTAAATTCCCACACTGAAAAATGACTGGCTTAGGGCATGGCAGTGTACGTGTTAATGTGATCAGATGCATTGCGTTGTTTGTGTACTGCGGTTTTGAAATTGAAAAGGAGACGCAGATGGCAGATGATCGGTTAATATTTGCAGTCAGCTCATTGTGTTACTGTGTGAAAGTACTTTTCATAACAGTTTGAATTAATTATGCATGTTTTATACTGAATACGCTACATTACATTTCTGTGGTAACTAATGTAATTGTCACATCATTATTGACAGAAATTTCCACAGCTCAAAAACTCAGAATCATTTACTGTTTTGCACATATTTGTCATAATTGCTTTCTGTTCAGTAAAATGCAATGAGGGATGCGTGTATTTTTACCGCCTCGCAGTTGTGTGATTGGCCATAAAAGCACATGCTTCCTGTCTTGTCTAACTTCCGCGTAATTACTTAACCAGGGTTTGTGTTTTATTTTATAAATTGCTGGTAAGAGCTAACTTCTTATTGTAATATTGTTAGTTGTTATTAATTATTTTACATAAATTTGATATTAGTTTGAAAATATGTTTGCACCGTTTTATGTTTGTTGGATTTTACTGTGAAGTGTGATTTTGAATATAGGCTTACAGAAATGGTTATCATTTTATATATAATAAATAATTGAGCATGTGTATATATAGGCATATCATCATCAATTCCTGTTGTCCCTCATGGGACATAGGGCATCAACAAAGCACCGCCACCTGGTTCTCTTTACTCTTTTTTTTCTCCCAGTGCCTCAGCGTGGACTCATCTTCGCCACGTCTGTCTGGGCCTCTCTCTCTTCCTTCTCCAGTCCAAAACCTCTCTCTCAATGGCTTCATTCCGCTTCCTCAGCGTGTGCCCCAACCACTTCCACTTCCGTCGCTCGATCTGCATGAATACCTCAGTTTCCTCTGTCCTTGTCAGAGTTCTTGGTTGGAGATCACTTCTGGCCAATGGATGTTTAGGATTCTTCCCAAACAGCGATTGACGAATGTCTGCAGCTTGGAGGTGATCATTTTCATTACTTTCCACGTCTCAGATCCATATAACAGCACTGACTTGACGTTACTACTAAAGACGCGGAGTTTGGTCGTGGTGGGTATTCTGTTGCTTTTCCATACCGGATAAAGCCCCATTGGATACCACGTCGCACATCACTCGTCACTTTCCGCATTACCGCGTCATATAAGCGACAAGATGCAACCTTGCCGCACTCGTGACGGCACAGAGATCGGCTCGGATACACGGCCCTCGTGAATGACTCGACACGCGTTCCACGGTGGTTTCGCCTCGCCATCCGTGGCCAGTCTTTATCCAACAGACTGAAACAGAAAGATTGCGGACAAACATCCATGCATTGAGTGGGACTCGAACCCACGGTCTCGGCGGCCAGGCGCACGAGGTACATGCCTCAGATCGCGTGGCCACTGCGGCCGACATAAAATGATATACACAGGAAAAAGGTTTTTCTCAATTTATCATGACGTAATTTCTGTGACTGTTACTGATTCAGTTTTGCTACTAGATCTTTGCGACAATTTGAGCATGGAGAGGAAAAGGAATAATCCAAACAAAAAAGTTTCACAGTGGAGTTCAGAGTCATCCAGGAGTACATTTCTTCTGTTGGCCTTTATATGCCATGCAACAACACTCTGTGGTAGACGGCCGTCAGACTGAGCTGTTGGTGGGCAAGAGTACCTCCAAAGTTGTTAAATTTCACGTATCCCCTAAAATGTCTTCGCATACCCCAGGTTGAATACCACTGCTCTAGAGCAGTGGTATTCAACCTTTTTTGTTCGCGTACCCCCAGATATAATTTCTCTTCAACTTTGTACCCCGAAAGTTGCTGGTGTATAATTCGAGTTATACGTAGTATATAATCTACATCTAAAATAAATTCAATAAATTACATTACTGATTATTCAGTGTTTATCATAAAAGAATATTTTTTTAACAATTTCACGTACCCCCTGAGATATTTGTCTGGTAATTACTGGAGGATTTTATTACCCACAATTAAAATATCTACATGAAGTCTAATGCTTATGAGTGCATAAAATTAATATATATATATGGTGCTGGATGGATTTTGATGAAATTCTGTATGAACATTAGGCATTAGAGACTCCTCTAAAATTGTGCTTTTTAATTTCCTACAATCTGTAATACCAACATGGCAGACAGATGAACTTGTGAAATGGAATTTACATTAGCATCACTTACTGTAGGGTCATACGATGATAGTGGTACTATATCTTCAAAAAATACACAAATTCAGTAAACTGATTCTTTGTGCAGTGTAAAACAGCAACATGGTTCATGCATGAAACAACAGGAAAAAAGTGAAACCCAGGATCCGATCCCACAACTGCCCATGGATAAGTCCAGTATACTATTACAGAGCTAAGTTATATTGTTATTGGGACATCAAAACACATAATTTGTGTAGTTAGAAATTAAAGTTGTGTGAGAAAGATAACTCGTGTTATCTTTTATTAATGTTCTTTGAAATTATCGGGTTAAGCGACATTTCAGCAGATATCATAAGCTTTTCATTGCATTATTGATCAGTCTGTATTATTCGCAAGGCCCTCTGAATTTATGTTCTCTCAACAGTCAGCTTTCGATAAACGAATCAGTAGAGAAGAAATAAACATTTTACATGTACATGCATGCATTTTAGTGGAAAAAGTGGAATGTATGTACATTACATTACAGTTTGTTTATTTCTTTTGTGAAGAAGAAGAAGGCAGGTAAGAGTAAATTACACAGATTGCAGGTGTTTGAGAATCAGGTGTTGAGCAGGATATTTGGGCCTAAGAGAGAAGACGATGGGGCGTGGAGAAAACTGCATAATAATGAGCTTAAAAATTTGTTCTCCTCCCCCAATATTGTCAGGGTGGTTAAGTCGATAAGAATGAGATGGGCTGGGCATGTAGTGCGCACGGATGAGACGAGGTGTGCACCGGGTATTGGTTGGGAAACCTGAGAGGTAGAGACCCATGGGAAGACCTAGATGTAGATGGGAGGATAATGTCAGGCGGGATCTGTGGGAGATAGGAGTTGAAGGAGATCGGATTTTGTTGGCCCAGGACAGGGTCTGATGGAGGGCATTGGTGATGAACCTTCGGGTTCCGTAAGCCATCTAGTTGGTTGGGTCCACTATTTGGGAAGCCTAAGGGGAAGAGACCTAGACGTAGATGGGAGAATAATCTCAGGCGGGATCTACGGGAGATAGGAGTTGAAGGAAATCGGATTTTGTTGGCCCAGGACAGGGTCCGGTGGAGGGCTTTGGTTAATTTGGTGATGAACCTTCGGGTTCGGTAAGCCATCTAGTTAGTTGGTTAGTTATGATGAAGAGATATTCATATGTTTCTGCTTTGCCTGTGATCTATTGTTACATTTATCTTGGAAGTGCTTGTGACATAGCTTACATAATGTGTTTTTTTTTATCAGCCACGAGCATTCAGAATGAAGAGAAGGAAAGGAGTATGTTGAAAGATTTGAGGTTTTCACGGCAGTGATTCTGAAGATGGCTGTCTTCTGGGTTGTTGCGCCATGTAGTCTGGTAGAAGTTTACTGACGTTTCAGAGGTCCTTGCTTCCTCCATCGTCAGGGTGCCCTGACTGCACGGCGCAACAACCCAGAAGATGGCCATCTTTGAGTATGTTGAAACTGTGTTTGTATTCTGGTGTGGTTTGCACCTTTCTATACTTGTTTATGTTGATCTGGTTGAATATGCACATTGGGTTTTGAAGACTTACTTTTAAAAGTTAATTACAAGTGATCAAAGTTGGCACATGAAATGAGCATGATTATATTATCTTCACATGAAAAGTCCAATCATTCAAAGTCCGTCTTGGAGACCACCATTTTGGTTTCACGTTATTGAAGCTTCTACCTAGAATTATGAAGTGAATAACAAATGCAGCCACAACCAGGACATCTTCAGAAGTTTGGTTTGCATGAAAATGGTATATATATTGGTGCTGCTTTAAAACATAGTTCTTCATATTTGGGTTATCAGTATAACCTTGAACCAGTTGCACACACACAAAAAGAAGAAGTAGTACAGGGTATACACAAAAGAATGGTGCGGTTTCAAAAGTTGATAAAAAGATTGTTTCTCACCTTACACGGGCACAACATACATATTCTTTTATATCCATGTTTATTAACATCCACATCTGTATTGAAGTAAGCTCTAATTTGAATATCATTCTGTACCTCTTAAGAAGCTAACATTTATTGCTGAATCAGATGAGCTCCCACAAGGCATGTAGTAAAGTAGGGAATTATTGAGATTTTTACAGCAGTGAAACCTTCAATTGTGGTCTTGTAGGAGGAATGATGCACATATACAAGACTACAGAATTCTACAATCCACAAAATCCAAATAAGCATTGTTTCCATTTTCCATCTAGTATCATGTTTTGGTGGAACATGGTATTACTTGTATTATCTGCTGAAGTGTGTGTGTTATGTGCCTTTTCTATAAATGTGATGTATAAAAAATGTCCGCAGATGCATTAAGTTGCTTCTCAACTTGTTTTTCCAACAGTGCTAAAGTTTACTTCATTTCTTGCCTATAGTTTGGGCTTTTCCAAATTTTATACAACAGTAAGACAGTAATCACACAAAAAGTTTGTTAGAGCTTGTTAAACTTTTAAATGTATTTGATCAGTTCACTAAGGAAATCTATTTGAAATATGTTTTTTTTTTTAGTTCAATTTACAACCACCTTGTGGCTAACGGTGTAACAGAATAGTGAAACATTCCTACATTTTTCACTCTAAACTTAACACTGGTTTCTGAAGGATCAGAAAGTGCAGTACACTTGATAAACAGCTAGGATTTACTGAGCTTAATTATTTAAAGAAATCTTGTAATTCAGAATTTTTTTTTAAAATGTGCATATGGTAGCTACAGTGTTGGAAATAAATGTCTAATGGCATACATTTCGAGTCTGCTGGAGTAAGAATATTAGGCATTATTGTTTTTTGGGCTCAGACTTTTAATGGCAGTTTTTGCACACAAGCTTTGGAAGGAAATGTGTAAAAGAAGACTGAAGATTATAGCATAAACATTCAACTCAGTTTCACGCTTGAATAAAGGATTTAAACCAAATTTATTGTTATTGTGTCGGATATATCGGTAATCTATGATTTGGAGTTAATTTGTAGTGATGGGCACAGATTATATGAAGCTTAAGTATAATGTTGGTGGTCTGTGGTGGTGGGCATGGACTTCTCGCTATGGGGAAGTTGGTATTAATCCATGGGCCGTGACGACATTATAGGCGTCATTGTGCGGAGTTATTATCCCAGTAAAGCGTTAAGTAATAGCATTAAGAGTGCGAATGGACCGTAAACACGACACAAATGTGGGAAAAAAAAAATCTCGAACAGTAGTAAACCGTGTAACTGAAAAGTTGAGTGTATGTACTGTCAACAAATTGTTTCCTGTGTATGAGTAATGCATTTGTATAACCTGCTTTTCAGTATGGTTGACTCAGGAGAAAAGATTTTAAGATATGTATCGTGTGTGCAGTCATTCAGTGTGTTCTGTCACGTCTCTGAAATACGTAGTAAGGGCCTGAAACTGGAATTTTTAATTAATTTGCCTCTGTACTATTTTTGAGTGATATCTGTGCAGGTGTTGAAGTTGACCGTGTGCAGGTGGCTGTGGTCGATAGTGGATGATAACATGGCGAAGCAATTTCCTTGTCATTTTGTGATAAATATGTGAGGTTGTTCAAGAATAAAGTGTTTGCAACGAGAAATTCTTGCCTAGGACATTTTAGACAAAAATATGCCCACCAAAGTTTCCAAAAAGGTGGTTGGAATGATAATACGAAGTAGGAAGACTATAATGAAAGATGGAGTAATGACGGTAAGATCCATTTTCATGTCAATTTGTACATTTACTAGAAGATTATCACAAAATGTAAAATCTTATTTTTATGAAAGTACTCGTTGGTTGACGTAATGGCGTATAGATTATGCCAGTTTTTTTATGTGTGTGTATATTCGTCGAAGTTCATTCCATAATTTATCGCAAACCTTTTTCAAAAATATTCTTGCGTATTTTGAGAAATATTGACGTATTATATGTATTTGTATTAAAGATTTGAAAGAACTTTATATATATATATAGCCTACAATATTGAGTGTAGTATTAATTTTTTAACAGTTAAAGTGGAAATTTATTTTGTGTGCTGATTTCCTTGTCCTTTGTGATTCACTTATCACATCATTATTCTTTGGAAAAATAAACTGTCCATTCAGCTCTTTCTTGCTATGACAGATGCATTTGTATAAATGATATGAAGGCATCTCAGTTTACATTAGCTTAGAATTTGCAGAAATTTTAAATTGAACATAGTGGTAGGAGTAGAAGAATTTTTACACATTTTTAATTGTCTTTCTTTATCTAAGGTCCTGTTTCTGTAAACCGTATTTACATTTGAACTGTAGGTCTGAATTCAGTGAAAGTAACATCTGAGGAGACAACCTCCCCCCTCATTTTGCATGCACTAAAGAAGAGTCTGTACTTTCATTGTGACCTTGGACATATTTGCAAAGCATGTGGTTAACATCTGTTCAGGTGTCGAATTAAGTGCTTATCCTAGATAAACAACAGGAAATAATATCTTGTAAAGTCCCAGTTCTGTCTCTGTGAAGGATATGTTTCGAATTAATGTTGCTAAGCTTTCTCCTCAATGAAAAGAATTGTTGTTTTGCACTGTTTACTGTATTTATTGTTATTCACAATAAATTTTTCAGAAATTCAATTTTGCTATTACAGTTTAGTTTAGAATAAATACAGAGTGTTAACTTAGAATAGAGAAGTGACATTTCAGATTCTTGCAATAATGAAGATGCTGATCATGATTTTCTGGATTGTGATGTTGTGTGGTATTGTAGTCGTTGGCAGAGTAAAGTAAGGAAGGATTGGGGTGTGAGGAGGCATTTGTGTGATAATGGAGAGAAAAGGAAGATAGGTTTGGCATACATTTTGTGGCCATTGCCAACCAGGATAATCATTCACTTGTCACAGCTGACCTTGTATCCGTTCTTCGGCTGTTCTGCGTACTTTTGTCATAATATTTATGAAGATAGTCTTACAAGTAGAACTTACTGACTGGGAGCCATCATAGCTTAGTCAGTGTAGTGACTAGCTACAGGCCAGACAACTGGGGTTTGATCCCTAACGGGGGCAGAGGATTTTTCCTCTAGCCTCTGCTTCTAGACTGACTCTGGGGCCCGCCCAGTCTCATATCTGATAGGTACCAGGGTACCTTTCTTGGGGGGTAAAGCACAACCGGGGCGTGACGCCGACCACTCACCCCCATCTAGTGCCGAGGTCAAGAATGAGTAGGAGCTATACCTTATCTCTCCCCAAGCAACCTATTAATTCTTCGCTGTGAGTGTAATGGTAAATATGTGTCAGAGAACATACAGTGCATCACCATTACAAAGATCATTTGGTTAATGCTGTAAAGGGAAATTATCTGTGTTTGTTCTGGGAATCATACATAACCCATAAATACACTCTGGGCAAAATACAGAGTTAACTGATTGTTGAAGAAGATGGTATATGTAGTTATCACTTGTTCTTAAAGGGTTAAAGCTATTGGCAGTGAAAGGCAGTTATCTGTGTAAGTTTGTTTGAAAGTTTTTACCATTAAGAATGGATTTTCTTGTTGATGAAATGGAACAGGCCAACACAACTGAATTGACTTCGTTACATAAACCAAGAAACATGTTTATTGACAATGTGCTTTTTGAAGCTTATCAGCATTGTCTGTTACATTGGTCTGGGAATTATTTTCTATTCAGAGCTGTTGTTTGTCAGTATTTCTGCATTTCACAGACAACTTTATTTCACACTCTTGCTACACAGACTCAGTTTTTGTTTAACTGTCACACTTAGTAAATTTGTTTAACCTTGTATTTTTACAGACATCAGGGATAGGAGAACCAAGCGTGCACCATGCCCTGGTGGTCATTTTTCTCGAGTTCTTTGCATGGGGTCTCCTCACCATGCCTGTCATTTCTGTGAGTTTAAGCTTAGTGTTGCATGTCAACATTTCAGACTTCATAACGTATCAGATCTTACAATTATGTATTGAGACATGTCTTCCTGCAACCATAGTAAAGATACTGAAGTTAGGAATAATCTCTTGTGTATGAGATGAATAGCAGTCCCGCGTATGATTGGTTACTTTTGTGCCGTAAAGGTGATTTGTTTTTGTGTGTTTCAGGTTCTTAATGAAACATTCCCTGATCACACATTCCTTATGAATGGACTTATCATGGGTATCAAGGTAAGAGAGCCTCTGTTGAACTTGGAGGAGTGCGAGTGGCTCGTGTTGAGTCTGCATGGTTTCTCTCAGCGTGCATCGCGTACAGTGTTTTAGGTCATGGCCAAGTCCGGCTGTTTACCTTGTACATAATTATGGCCATTTCATGTTTGACCACTTCTAACTTCATAATTTATTAAGCAAATAAATTTACCCGATGCATGCGATTTTTGTCTCTACAGGGTGATTCTTGTTTACATGCAACAAATACAGGGTTCCCTAAAAGACGTATTCACACTTTTAATGAATGAAATTAAGACATTTTAATTAATTGAATCATTACATATGTCAGCACTGGCACCTTGTGAATTTGCGAATCTAGTGTAGGTATTCAAAATGACCACTCTTAGTTTGTGACACAGAATGGCAGCGGTGAGCAACTGACTGACAAGCGGCCACTAAAGTTGCTGCTGTGTATACATATATGTGGCAAGTAATGTCACATTTTAGGACCACATGTATTAATTAGATACCTACATACTAGCGTCTTGTGTTTGCAAAATGTTTACAGAAGTTGTTGAAAATTATCTTCGTTAGTTTCAGTGCACAACTGAGCCCTATGACGCCAAGAATTCCTGGACCACTGATAAATTCCAGTCATGTGTCATTCACGTTGTTGCATCTTGTTGAATTAAACACCAGAACTCATCCCATGTATTGAATCTTTTAAATTAAACTGTGCCCGTCAGATGGGCCCGCAGGTATAAGTTAGCAGATGTGAAATCAGGTGATTGCAGAGGTCACAAAGCTAGTCAGTTTTGTCTTATCAGTCTGCTTTATGTTCAGCGTAAAATCAGCGGGATATTCGCATTGCCAGAAGCACCAGAAAGTCAAGGCTCTGTGAGGAGATTGTCACTTATTCTGACCAAAATGTTAACTTTAAACTGATGTCTTATCACTGTGCAATGTTGCCATAGATTGTAAGACTTAAGGTTCTCACAGCGGTGAGTATGAAGATATCCGTCTTCTGGGTTATTGCGCTGTATAGTCTGGTCGATGTTAACCAACGCTTCAGAGGTCATACTGCCTCTGTCATCAGGGCGCCCTGATGACGAAGGCAGTATGACCTCTGAAGCGTTGGTTAACATCGACCAGACTACACGGCGCAACAACCCAGAAGACGGAAATCTTCATACTCTGATGACGGAGGCAGTATGACCTCTGAAGCGTTGGTTAACATCGACCAGACTACACGGCGCAACAACCCAGAAGACGGAAATCTTCATACTCTGATGACGGAGGCAGTATGACCTCTGAAGCGTTGGTTAACATCGACCAGACTACACGGCGCAACAACCCAGAAGACGGAAATCTTCATACTCTGATGACGGAGGCAGTATGACCTCTGAAGCGTTGGTTAACATCGACCAGACTACACGGCGCAACAACCCAGAAGACGGAAATCTTCATACTCTGATGACGGAGGCAGTATGACCTCTGAAGCGTTGGTTAACATCGACCAGCCTACACAGCGCAATAACCCAGAAGACGGATATCTTCTTGCCATAGATTGCTAACAAAGTGGTCAAAATACTATATTTATAGGAAATGTTTGGCTTGATTATAGGAGTAGAACACGATCCTTGCTTGTGATTAAGAATCACCCTGTGTGCATGCATGTTCTGCTAATTAAATCAAAATGTAGGCAAGAAGAGGTTAAGTGTTTCACATTCTTTTCAGTAGGAATACTCGATGATTGTTTACATGTTCACAGGGCTTGTTGTCATTCCTAAGTGCACCATTAATAGGGGCACTGTCAGATTTGTGGGGACGCAAGTTCTTCCTCCTTATCACGGTTTTCTTCACATGTGCGCCCATCCCTCTTATGACTATAAACACGTGGTAAGTTGTCAAGTTAGCCCTACTCTTTTAACTTAAAGCTTTTGGAATTATTTATGTTAGGCTCTAGCGTGACCTTTGGGGAATCGTCCATTTATTAAAGAAAGTTCTTCTGTGGGAAGAGTCTAGGTTTCAATTTTTATTATTAAATAAAATAGTAAACTTTTTAGTGTGGCAGTAATGACCTTCAGCATGTACACACAGAAAGAAAGTGTGGGTCGTGACAGTCGTTGGCGAGATGCAGGAGGCAGCAGTGATGCTGTGCTGACTGTGTGTTATGGTGTGTCTGTTCCAGGTGGTTCTTTGCCATGATCAGCATCTCAGGTGTGTTTGCTGTTACATTCTCTGTCGTGTTTGCCTATGTAGCTGATGTAACTGAAGAACAGGAGCGTTCTCTGGCTTATGGTCTGGTAAGCGTGTTTCCAGATCTGCTATAATGTTATGTTAGTCTTTGATTGAGTCTAAAGAGACATGGAGCAGGTTTGGGTAGTGGTAACACCGCACACTTGCATTCTGGATGTCTTAGCCAGGACGTGACTGAGATCGTTGTGATTTTCCTTTTTTTTCTGGGAGAGTTGCTTCAAGAAGGCCATGACCTTCACCTTTTAAATCCATACAGACTACAGTTCATTCAACGTCTGTAGTTGGTGCGGTGTTATTTGATAACCTAAGAATCTTTTGTGTAAATAACTTAAAAACAGTCTAGAATCTTATAATTTGCTTATGTTGTCTCTGCTGCTTAGGCATTTATTCTGTTTGTAAACAGTCATTTTATGAAGTAAACTTGTTTTCTGGACGTTATCCATCGTCCAAGACAAAATAAAATCTATAACCACGATGTTTCGGAGGTGGGACTTTATCTCCGTCTTCACGTAAAACCTAATCTGTTGGACCCAATCAATAGAGCTAATCCCCATCTCCGAAACGTCACGGTTTTATTTATTTTATTTAATATTGGACGATGGATAATATCTGGAAAACAGTTTGCTTCAACAACGCACTAATCGGCACAAACTTTCAGATTTGAGCCATTTTACATACCAACAGTTTTTAGTACATGAATTGTGATGATGTTAAATATACATAAATAAACCTGTGCATGTCAGTCTGTATAAGACGACCATCAGCATCTTCCCCGATTCTTTTACACGTTACAATGCGTCCTTTGTGACATTTTATTGCTCAGTATATAAAGTTTCAGTTGGAAGTTGTTTGTCTAATTAAGTTAACAAACTTTTGTTTTATTTCTAACATTAGTAAATTAATAGGAATCTTGACGTACTGAATGTATTATTGACATCTTCGGTGCCATGAGAACCTCCTGAAGGTTGTGGTCCATACACATAACTTTAATGTCCTCTATTTGAAATTAATGCTATTCTCTTCAAAATCAGTTTTGGATAAACAAATGAAACAGTAGCTTAGAAAGACCAGATTAAAGGATTACTAAATATCATGTTCTTGTTTTGGTGATGGTAATAGTTAAAAGTATGTAAACTGGGTTGCAATGTAAGATGTTCACATCTTGATCAAAGCTGTTCATAACAGCTGAAGCATCCTGAATGCCGTTCTTATTCTGAGTTGTAATGCCATGTGAACTTATGAAAACTCTAGAGGAACATACTGCCTTCATCTTTAGCCCTGAAGGTTATGTTTGTCTAAAATAATGTTATCTACCTACAAGTTTGTTCTTTGTTAATAACTCTGAAGGCCATCTTTGACTTGTGTGGAAAATCTCTTATTGCTGTTGAATTATAATTGTCATTGCCACTGGTGGAGTAAGTCTCGATAAGCAAGTGTTAAAAACGAGTCAGGACTTTGCTGGGATTCTAGGCAACCTGTCGCAACTATTTTCTTTCCTTGATTTGTTAAAGGTGTCTGCAACGTTTGCAGCCAGCATGGTGATAAGTCCTGCGCTGGGCGCATACATGATGGATGCGTATAGCGAGAATCTTGTTGTAGCACTTGCGACAGCCATAGCCATCTTGGATGTGTTTTTCATCCTTGTGGCTGTACCCGAGAGCCTACCAGAGAAGGTCCGACCATCTTCATGGGGTGCCCCCATCTCATGGGAACAGGCTGACCCATTTGCAGTAAGTCAGACAACTGACTAGAGAAATTAAACAAATGGCACTAACCACATCATAGTTTTGTGTACAGAGAAGCAGTTTACAGGCAGCAACATCATTTGTGCTTTAAGGCCGCCATTCACGATCGCTCCAGATGGATGACATCCGAATGGATGACGTCCAAACGGATATCGTCCAAAGAGGTACTACATTCACGGTCGCGTCACGCCAGTCGCGGTTTGTTGTCCCTCTGTGAAGTGCGTGGTGTTTGCGATGGACGAAGAATTGGTACTAGCTACGGCAGTATGCCTGTATATTAAAAGGAGAAAACCAAAACGAAAGTGGTCAAAGCAATGGCTCTTAAATAGAAGCAATTTAAGTCCTTATGCTCCTTTCTGAAGCAACTTCTAAGGGAATTTTCTTTGTTGGCGGTAGGATCTTTGGTTTTAAATAAAACCACCAATTCTTCCATTGCTAAGCTTCTTTTAGCTTTATCATGATAGTCTTCATTACTTATCTGCCACAAACATGGCAACTCTCTATATTTCTCAATCACCTCAATAACAAACTCACGACCCGACATTATACAAGTTTGGACTTCACTGGACGAAGGCTCGTGGCAGACTGGCATGAGAATGGACCACGTTTCCG